TTTGGAAGGCCAAACGAAGTAGTTTCGCTTTCACAACGAAACACACAGCGCCTTCACGACATGGCGGCGGCAGCAACAACAATACTACAGCAAGAATAAAAGTTGAACATTTGGGCTGCGTTATGTAAATCTTCCCACACAGTGACGTAGACGTGTGGGCGTGTTTAAACGAGGCGTTTTAGGAGGGCATGAACAAGTCTTAACGTTTATAAAGAATATCTCTTTGGGTTTGAGACTTTAATCTTTGCAACTTTAGGGATCTTATCTATGCACGAACAGCTTGTAACAATCCAATGAGAAAGGAAAATTTGAAATAGCATCATATGACCCTTTAATGATGTTTAGTCATAAGAGGAAGAGCTGGTGCATTGTGTGTGTGTGTGTGTGTGTGTGTGTGTGTGCTTAAATAAGACTGTAAAGCCCTGCTTTATATATGTGACTGTGTAAGCTTATGTGCACATTTTCATCAAGACTTCATTTTCATCTGATCACAAATTCAAATAAGCATTGATTAATTGTTCTCTACTGTCAATAAGGTTATAATAGCATTAACCTTCTCTTGTACTGTGTTTTCTTAAGGCAACATTATATATTTTTTTCTTTCGCATTTTCAACTTTAGAAGAAAAAAGTAAAAAACGTTGCCATGCATTGTTGGAATTAATAGGTCAGTCTGTAAAGAAACCAATAATATGATTTTTTTAAGACAATAAGCTTTTAAGACATTTTATTTCCACACTTCCCTATATTTATTTATTTATTTTTTGCTGTTAAATATATTTCTGGTTATATAATACATGTTTGTTGCTTATTTAACAAGAAATATTTTTCACCCACATATCATTCTAAACCCATATTATTATTATATTATTCCTTTTTAGAATAAAAAAAAAAGAGGGATGAGAGGATAGTGATTCAAACTGAAAAGCTCCAAAAAGGACATAAGTATTTTAAAAGTAGTCAGTATGACTCATGTACTATATTTTTCTGAAGTCTTTATAAGGAACAGATTTAAAGTAGTTGTCCACTAAGAATCCTCCTGGGGGCACAACCCCACACTGAGAGAATTTGAGAAACATCAACTTAAATAGATGATCACATTTGGAACATAGTTTGCCAATATGAATATTGCCATTTGAATTAAGCAGTAATGCATTTCCTCAATAGGATTTTTTTTAATAGACAATGGCATCAAACATATTACTGCTGTTGTAACCCCCACTTGTCCTACTCACACCCGCTTCGAGCAGGACTCGAAGCCAGGTTGCCAGCATGGGAGGCAGGTGCACTTACAAGGAGACTAAAGATCACAGCCTCTTGCATTAGTTGCTAGTGCGCCTCTTGTGATCAGGGGAGTGAGGTTGCACAGCACCTACCAACTGGCCTCCGTTACACTGTCATTTATTTTGAAATATCCATGATAAAATAATTGCTTTTATGAATAAATGACACAAGTATGATTTATGTTGCAGTTGTTCTGAAGAAATGAACACAGCTATGTTACATGGAAAAAGAAAGAAGGCTGCAGTGTTGGATCAACATGTTTAAATCTGGCCTTCAACACTATGTCTATCTATATTTATCTATACATAGGCAAAATACCTAAAAAAAAAGGAATGTTAATTCCAGGCTCAGAAGACCATTTATCCAAGTCAGGTTAGCAGTCACAAAAAAAAAAAAATGCATTCATGACCGACCTCGTTATAGTCAGGATTTACGGGAGTGAGACAAATCTGTCCTTCAACACTATGTCTATCTATATTTATCTATACATAGGCAAAATACCTAAAAAAAAAAGGAATGTTAATTCCAGGCTCAGAAGACCATTTATCCAAGTCAGGTTAGCAGTCACAAAAAAAAAAAAATGCATTCATGACCGACCTCGTTATAGTCAGGATTTACGGGAGTGAGACAATCCAATTAGTTTGAGATGGAGCTAAAACATATTCTTAATTTCATTAATATTCTATCAGAGGCAACGTATCGCTGCACAGCGGGACTCAAAGATTCTCCACCATGCTCTCTAAGCATCTCTCCAGCCACCTCATCTGCTGCTTCATTAACCTTTGTCTTCACAGAAACCTCTACTCTCATGCTTCAAGTCACTGATAGGAGCTTGACATACAGAATCAGAGGAAAGATACGGAGGTGGATTTTGCAAGGCTGCATGAGAAAAGAAGATAAAATTTATTGCCCTTGGTAATGTGGGACTCACATTATAAAAGTCGGCAAGGCCAACACAGACCATCCTTAATTTAATCTAAAACTGGAATTACTTGTTCTTGAATTATCTGTATTTCACTTCATAGTGCTGATCAAAGCTTTGTAAAGTAGGTGTGCAAAATACCAAAATCCGTATTTCATCTTTTAACTACATTTCTTTGGAGCATCCGCAGTGTCTCACGCTCAGATTTGTTTATTTTCTTTGCTGTATGTGTCTTCTCCTGTTCCTTCCATCTATTTCCACACAACTGAAGGTCAAACGACAGTGAGCGGGACACACGCACACCTTCACGCATCTACATATTGTATTATCATATGTCTGTGTCAGGTAAAGAAATGCAGATGGAGAGGCATTAATCCATAACAGCTTCAAAGCATGTGACAGCTTGTATGACTGATATGTGTGCTTTCTGTTCAGTCTGGTGTATTCTAGCATGATCTGAATAAAATCTGAACATGTCTGACTTAAAGGAACAGTACCCAGTTTGCACCTGGTATTAAAACCTGTCTTAGATGTGTCTCGGGTGATCATTGTTTTGAGGGAAAGGTGTCTGATTTCATGGCTACATACTGTATATCTCTCACTGTGTTGGTAAAACACAAAAATAATGTATGTAGTTGTTGTTGGTGGTGCTGTGTTTTTTTTTCGCCATTGGAAGCTGCTTTGAACTGATTTAAAGTTTAAAACTGTGTTAGAGAAAATTATTTTTAGATTGCATTTACTCTAACAAATGCAATCTGGCCACATATATTTTCGACTGCCTCTGAATGTGGTATGAATGCTTGGTTTGAATTTACTCTTGGAATTACACTGTAAGAGTACGGTCACGTTAGTGATATTTCAGCAAAATTTAATGGAAATAAACAGGTCTGTTGTCAATAGCATAGCATACAAACCACTGCTCACATAAAAGTCATTTTCAAAGCAAACAGTTTTGTTGGTCAGCACAGCAAATTTGTGAAATCTATGTGGGGAACTTTTACGACCTTATGCGAAACTCTCAAACGTGTGGATTCATATTGAAATGACTCAATTTCGCCTACACAATTTCACAGAGCAACAATAAATGTGACGGTATAACTCACTTTTTTTTTTTAAAGCAATTGACTGACTACATTTAAATAAAAAATGTTATTTAATCTACCTCAACTCAACAAATTAAGTTTAAATCAGGAAAGGTATATATATATACAGTGGGTACGGAAAGTATTCAGACCCCCTTAAATTTTTCACTCTTTTATATAAATATAATAATTACATTTATATAATATAATCATATTTTATTACATATTATATATATTAAATTAATAGGCTATATTTTATATTTCTGTTGTACTGTTTAACCAACTATCCAAATTAATTAGTTGTTCTCTGAAATCTGTGACTATTTGTATTAAGTTCCTTTTTTTACTGAATGTGTTTTATTGAGGCAGACATATGCACTGGTCTTGTTATTGCAGTCTCTCAATGTTCTACAATGTCTATTTGTGGACAGAAGATCACAGATGAAGCTCCTGAGGTCCACTAGCTGAGGCATTTGGTACAGTGAAGACTATGAACATGTTTTCTGTGTTTCAGATCATGTTGCTGACAGATCCAGAGGTGGAGAGCAGTTTGCTCATCAGCTCAGATGAAGGCGCAACCTATCAAAAATATCGCCTCAACTTCTACATCCTCAGCCTGCTGTTTCACCCTGAGCAGGAGGACTGGATCCTTGCCTATGGCCATGACCAGAAGGTGCAGAATCATTTCAGCTAATTCATATAGCAAATAGCATCTAATTATGGCACAAAGCTTTCAGCAAGTCACCGTTCATGCGGTTCTCTAATTATCAAGCTGTTTTATTGCCAAATATAACCAAATGCAAGGAAGCCAAAGGAACAAAAAAATAATAATTTATAGTATTTGCATACTGTATAAAGAACATTTTAGGCACAAACTGCAGAGCAAGACATAATAATAATGAAAGCATGTGTGCAAATGGATGCTAATCTGTATTTAGGCTTGAAATATGTCCTTAGAAGGCAATTATCAATGCAAGAGGAAATACGTCTTAAAGAGACGATTTCAGTAAGCTTAAAGTTGGCAATTAAGACAATGTATGCATCCCGAGTCGCAGGGAATTATCATTAATTATATGGTTTCAAACTCATGGTTAGGGCTAATAAATTATGATTTTGTTTTTATTCTCCTGAAAAGAGTGTTTAAGCATCAGATTTAATCATACCAAAAGATAATTTAACTAGTCAAGATTTTTTTTGTTCTCTATGCAACTGATGAATCATTTTAATTCCTTCCCTTTTTAATTTTGGATTAGATTCATTCCTGAATGAAATATTTATTTATTTATTGCTACTCCTTGAAGTGGATTTAAATGATATAACAAATTGTTCCCCTAGGGAACTCACTCTGCGTCCTCTAGTGGACACACTTTTATGCTTATGGGTGCCCGCCCGTGACGTCACGGGCTACGTAGGCCAATGGGATTGAGTTATTCAAACGTGCTTCAGACACTGGTCCTGCTGGTGGCAGTCCCTATAGTTTCCACTAGAGGATGCAGCATCTCATGCCCTCTTGAACAGTATAAATGTATAGCATATTTAAAAAAATAAGATTTTCTTTTCAAGCATGTCAAAAAAACTTCAAATTCAAACAACACAAATTTCCACATTGACACGCAATATCATCAAATGATTCAAGTCTCAAGTGATGTTGTTAAACAACTTTGACTTCAATTTTGACAAATCAACATTGATTTCACCCTTGAAAGAGGGCCAATGAGAATGAATTACAATTAAATGAAAACAATCAAAAATAATTATCAGCCAATTGAAGGCTAATAGTAGACTGTTTGCACAATTTGCATGACTAGTCAGCTGAAAGACGCAAAAGCAAATGACATAAAAAGAAAACACAATCACTAGTGTAATTAAACCCTATTCAAATCAATGCCACAAATAAATGCATAATTTATTAGTGTTGACACTTTTGCTGCCTTAATGTCATTGGCAAGTTTCCTGAATTTTTTATTTTTTATTTTTTATGATGACAGTAAACATAGAGGAGACGAGCTAAAATGAAAAGCTTAGTAAGCTTCAACACTTTTGTGCTTCCCTGCTGCAAATAACTAAATACATAAATAAATAAATAAATAAGTAACATTGAAGGAAAAAAAAAAAAAGGAATTGTTTTCAGCAGGGCTGTACTCTTGGGTTCTGTCTAATTTGGTTTAGTTTGATCCAGTTTGATTTGTTCCTTTGGTTTCCCATAAGTCATAATGTCTAAATATGACCGAGCTCCATCCACCCACAGTCAGGATGTTATACTGGATATGAGATTGTGATATCACAGTTCCCAACTGATGCAAATTAAAGTGCTACATTGAACATTGATTGAACAGTCATTTTTATGCTCTATTTAGTGAATTTTAGATCTCAGTGTTTGTTCTCTTGCTGATTGCCAATTTTCCACTGTAATTATACGAATTTTGAAATGATCATTTTAAGATTTTATTTTATTCTGTGTTTTATTGGAAAGTCGTTCATAATTTTAATCGCTTGGTTCCAAAACCTGGTTAGATCCCTACGTAGGCAGCATTTTAAGACATGCATGCTTATGATGTGAATTCTGTTCCCAAAGCTTGACGGCTTAATTATGCAGATTTCTAAGATACCTTGTTTTGGATCCATTTTAAGGCAACATCACCTACTTGCAGAAGACAGTCACATAATTACGCACAAGCAAAAAAAAACAAACAAAAAAAACAATTCCATCGAAATGTTTGGTGTTGGTAAGACTTTTTGAAAGAAATCTCTCATGCTTACCAAGGCTGCATTTACTTGATTAAAACATTTGGAAATATTATCACAGTTAATTGTACTTAAAGGGATACTCCACCCCAAAATTAAAATTTTGTCATTAATCACTTACCCCATGTCGTTCCAAACCCCAAAAGCTTCGTTTGTCTTCGGAACACAATTGAAGATATTTTGGATGAAAACCGGGAGGCTTGTGACTGTCACATTGACTGCCAAGTAAATTACACTGTCAAGGTCCAAAAAAGTATGAAA